TCTGTCGGTCTGTCTGTCTGTCTGTTACGCTTTCCCGCTTAAACCTCGCTACCGATTTTGATGAAATTTGGCATAGAGATAGTTTGAGTCCCGGGAAAGAACATAGGATAGTTTTTATCCCGGTTTTTGAAACAGGGACGCGCGCGATAAAGTTTTTCTGTGACAGACAAAATTCCACGCGGGCGAAGCCGCGGGCGGAAAGCTAGTTGTTAATAAATTCCAAAAAACTTCAGAAATAAATTAAATGATAATGTGTGGGCGTTTAGTTTCAATGAATAGAATCACTGTAACATTGTACGCCGCCGAGCGACAGCAGCGAGCACAGATTGGAACTCCGGGGGTAATTCTATCGTCGCTCTGCTTAGTTAATTTCGCTCAGACATTCCACAGTTTCAATAAGTGGGTGAATCGGTGAATCTAGTCGCAAGTAATGTAATACAACACGCCGTGTTTGCGAATGGGACGCCAATTTGCGAGTCTGATTTCTAATGCAGAATTACTTCGAAGGAGTTCAAAATTAAATGTAATGGACTAGGAATAGGTTAAATAATATTATATTATAAAATGATATTCTGACTTCTGCCTGATGCTTTGCCCACTAAATTTTGGTTTGTCGCAGAAAGTCCAGCGAGTCGATTACTCTTTTATAATGCGAACAGCTAGGGACTGGAATTCGCTGCCTGCTGCAATCTTTCCTGAACACTATAATCCGAGCCTTTTCAAGGCGAGAGTGAACAGGCACTTACAGGGCAGATATGTACCATCCTAGACTGCATCTCACTTAACATTAGGTGCGATTGCGGTCAAATACCTGCCTTGTCTTGCATAAAAAAAAAGAGTCGCAACCTAGACGTCATAGATATAACTAACTATATTTATTGAGTAAATGAGATTTAGATAATATTAATGTTTGAAATATTAAGTATTTCAATTTATTCGTCGGCACTTATCCGCACTCCCCCGGTGTCGCGCGACTGTCGCAGGTCTAGAACTTTCCCAATTTCCTTCGAGTCAGCTGCTAATCTCGCTCGCGGACGTTATTTATTGTCGCCGTAAATCTGATCATTGTGCGAGTTCCCGAAAGAACTCTTCGGAAGATCTTGTAAATAAGTAAACACGTGGAATGTCGTATAATACACATTTCAGCCGGAAAATGGGAAAATTGAAAAACGGCTAACCTTGAATTATGTCTTCGTTTCTCTGTTTGAGGCACTTTCTTATACTACTATTGGTACTGGTATTTTAATGCATCTTTTTGTTAACTGAAACTATAGCCAGCAAGCATCTAATGCTTGAATATCAATTCTTCTTCTTTTCGTGTCGACAACAAACCTACACAGTGTCAGCCCAAAACTCCGCCACAAGAGTGGCGTTGTCAGTAGCACTCATCAAATCCTCCAAAATATCAATTGAACTGAAGCAATGATGCTTCTGAGTATGGTCAAAGAATAATGGATCCGCATAAAATATTAAAAGGAAAATACATTGCCGTATAAACATTTTATAAAGCTGTTAATATTTTATTTAACC